AAAAAAATCAAATATCGGCGCTCGTAACGAAACGCTTAGACTCCTTTCCACTCTATAGCAGAAGTCGCGGTAATCCGACTATCGTTCGGGCGTCTTGGGTTTCTCCAATAGGACTTCCCAAAAATTTTAGTTTTTGGAACATGGTCAGAAACTTTCAAAATTGGGGAAAAAAAGCGGATTTCCGCTTTTTCGTGGAAGTCTTTCATCCCTGCAACACATAATTTTTAAATAAGTCTAATACGAAGATCGATGATTGATATTAAAATCGCCTGAATAAGAATCGAGATTTTGTTGGCACAGTTCCCAATATTTAAAATTCCTAAAATCAGCCAAACGTACATAAAATCCTAAAATCAAACAGTACGTGTCATCATCAGAAAGACGGGGAAGTCATTCTCTCACACTTACGCGCGTCAAAAAGTTAAACATAGAAATACTGGAAATAGGGCTGTTTTTCTGAGTTTTCGATACTTTTCAAGGTCATTTCAAAATTTTCAAGGATTTAATATCATTTTCAAGTACTTCTAGGGGCCCTTGAAAATCAAAATGAAATTCAAGTACTTTTCAAGGCTTTTTCAAGGCCGCGGGAACCCTGAATTAACAGAACATTGAGAAAACCACATTTTTTAAAAATAATTCAAGAACAATCAAAAAGGCAAAAAAGAAAAAAAAATCTAATAAAAATACATAACAAAAAAATAATAAAATAAAATAAAATCCCATTCACACCTTTGAAAATCAAAAATAAGTACCTTTAAGCACTTTTTAAAAATGCTATGCTACCTATTTTTGCTTTATATATAATAGCTACATAATCAAGACAAGGAATACTACTCTATAAAAATAAATAAGAATATAAAATTTTTTTCTAATTATTTTAAACAAATATACAGTACGCTTACAGGTAAACACTAGTTTTTCAAAAAAAAAATTTGTGAACTACTCCTCAGTTTAACATTTAATATCAAATTAGTAATTGAAATCACTGAATTGTTAATTGGACTAAAATCATTTTAAATAAAAGTAACAAAAAAATTGATAGAAATTTTTTAAATAAATCTCACTATTTCATTCCTTTCTACATCTTCTAAAAATTGTAGATAATTGAATTGCCATTAAATTTACTCTTAAGTACAATTTCCAAAACTTTAAAATAGTTAAATATGTTTTACTATTAAATCAAACAATCAAGAAAATTTTTTAGCTTAATATTTGCAGAGAGTTAAAAAAAAATGTAAATGGAAAATATAAATTTTCTTAATTCAAAACTTACAATTATGCAACATTAAAAATATTTAAAAAAAAAATTTATTGGACAGAAACTATTCTCAAATTATATTATTTGAAATTTTCTCAATTATGTAAGTCAAAATAATATAACTATGCCAATATGATTTCCAATTCGAAAAAGAAAAAAAAAACATTCTTTAATTGTGTTTATTTAATTCAGAAATTTTTCAATTTTGAGTCAAAATAATGTCATTATGCCAATATTATTTTCTGGTTAGACAGAAACCATTCTTACATTTTGTTTATTTTTTTCGGAACTTTCTCAACTATGTAAATAAAAAAAATAAGAAAATACGACAATACCAATATTTCTTATTAAAATCTACCTGAAGAAAGGTGTCAGTATTCATGTCATTGCAGGGAGTATCTACTATCTTTGAAGCTATTCTAATGCCATCTGCAGCTGCTGTCAAACATTTTAAATCTTCATCAGTCAATGGAGAGACTTTTGAACCATCAGGTGACAAGATGATGAATTCAACAGTCACAGTATGAGGAGAGCCACCATTTTTCTTGGTGAACAGTGGAAATGCTCGAGCTATGGCACAAGCAGATGGAAATGCATTTGAGTATTCACATACCATCTAAGAAAGAAATTTTCAAGTTAAACAAGATATTTGTTAAGCAGAAATATCACAATCTCTCCATAAACTAATACCCCCAGGATTAGAATTTTAATTTAATATGGAGGACTTCACTAGTTTAAATTTTATAACGTATAAAATTAAAAACTAAGTGTACAAAATTTTAAAAAAATTTTGTGAGCTTAGCTTTTTTTTTTTTTAAAAAATTTACAAAATTTTTATTTAAGATTAGGCTTACAAATTAAAAAATAAAGCAATACACAATGAAAATTTTTTAATGCAACATTGCTAAACAACTTATACTAAATTTGTCATTAAGCGAATTCTTTTCATTTTGATTCAGTCACACATTGATTAAAACATTGACTTGCCACACGAGTTTACAATGATATCTCCTTCAGGCCATGAGTACTGCTGTACGAAGCATATCCTGCTAAGTACTCCCACCAAGATACTTTAATAATGCGAGACTCTGGTGGTCGCAAGAATAATAGTTGTTTCCCTGATATCACGTCTGCTTATTTGTGTCCATTGCTCCGTATCTGTTTCTCATCTTGCCACTTTTCGTGATCAGTTTGAATCTTTGCTGAGTAAAGAGGAGTATAACTTAAAATCTTTACCTTAATTCATTGAAATTTCGAAAAGAAAAATGGAAAACTTATTTCTTAGTGAGTCAAATAACAGTGAACAAGAAAGCTTTTAGGAGGCTCAAGATAATTTTCTTAATAAATCATTTTTGTACTACTTTCATAACGACATTCTTTGAAATATTAGAAAGTCAGAAGAATATCATGCTTGATTAATAAATTATAGGATACCAATATAAATAACAAAATCTATTCTTACCACTACATAGCCATCAGATTGAAAACTGTAACTTTTAACTAATTTAGTTAAATAATGCACTTGTGAAGGAGTATTATGACGAGAACAGCTAGATGGCAGGCGAGCTAGAACAGCATCTCTCATGTAAAGAGGAACTGAATCAGATGAAGAAGTCTGTATATATTCAACAGCAGATTCAAATACCTAAAAAGTTAAGTCTTGATTTTATATAAGGAAAAAAAAAAGACAGATTTTCATATAATTTAAATTAAGACGAATATGCTAGCTGTATAATTCATAATAGATACTCTTAAGGGCTGTATTGAGAGATTAAATATGAAAGCATAATTGGTATAAGTCTTGTCGATAGAAACACAATGCATTCCAAGCAAGTTCCCCAATATGCACTTAGATGCATATTTAACGCATTGGAAAAAGAGTTGCACTCCACAAACATTTTACCAGGTATGAACGCACTCATCATAAATATTTTTTAGTTAAAACTGTTAGTTTTGTACTTTTCAGGCTGATTTTTTTCTCCAAATAAGAGTTATATAAATAAGAAAAAATGCTGTAAACCCTATAATATGATAATGTTCAAATAAAGAAGTTACAAATTTCTTTTTATCAGCTTTCACTATAAGATTAATAATTCGTTGAGACAGATTTAGTGGATAAATATATCTATTTGAAAATATTAAGCACAGTGGTGCCCACGTATTAAAATGTATTTTATTTTTTTAATTTTGCAATCACCACTTTATGAATTTTTTAAAGATCATATGAACCCTAATAAACACAATGTCCACTGCTTATTAAAATCCTTCCCTTATCTATCCCTTCTGAAAATATTTAATTTAATTAGGCGTTCGACTTTATAAACACAAATACATAAAAAACTAGATTTATTACTACATTTATATTTTACTTTTATTGAAGGTACATTGAAATCAAACATGTTTTTTTCTTATTTTAATTTACAGATATTTGACAAAATTGTCTGAAAAAATTTAAAATTAAACATGGTTTTAAAGTTAATAGAAGTTTTTGTAATTTTAAATAATTCCCTTTCTTTGGTATTAAACTCATTTTAAAATATCAAGTGCTTTTTAGCATTAACTCATTTTAAAATATAAATCCATCTTATTGAATGAGTAATGATCAATTGACAATGAATGATAATAATTTTCAAGTTTTCATTAGGATTCTTTTACACTCCCTGATCCATATTTTTTTTAAGTGTAAATCACACTTTTAATTTTTTTCTTGAATTGCTTTATATGCTTTGAAAAGGCAGAGATTTAAATTATTTAATAAAAGGATGGTTTTAACATGTTTTGATAGCAATGATTCTGTTCTTGCAGTTTTGAATTTAAAAAGCAGCTGATTTTATAATCCAATATTTTATGTAGTGGCAGTCACTCATTATCTCTGAATGTAGGGAAGGTGACATTGACACCCCTGAAAATTTTCCTGAATTAATAAAATTTATTATTTTTGCTCCAATACTGCCAATAACTACAGCTGTTTGTAAAAAAGCATTTTTGAAACTCAAAATTGAATAAAATCTATGAAGTTAGTTTATTAAAATGAACTTTCTAGATTATCTTGTGAATAAATCCTTTTTAACGTGACCAATGAAAGTGTGAATTGAGACATGAAATTTGAACAAGATGTATGTAAAATTGTGGGACTTTGGTTTAACTTTAACTAGTCTATAGTGAAGTATTTTAGTTAAATATTCAATCAATAATTTTAGAATCTTTATTTTGCATAGTTAATATATTAGTTGAAATATAACATGGTATAAAATAGTGGCAATATACAAAGGTAATCTTTATTTTGAAGTTGTCTTCTCGATTTTAAATTTCACCATTAAAAAATCATAAAGAATTGAAATTACTCTCTAAATTTTTTTGGGGTGTTACCCCCAAAAAAATTCCAAGTACTATTATAAATTAAAATTCTAGTATGACATTTTAAGATAAGCAAATCTAACCACTCTTCATCTAGAGAAAGAAACACATTAAAACATATATGGCACAACATTATATTTAGAAAAACCATAAAAAAAATTAAATAAATATCACATCCAAAAGACCAATACTAATACCAAATAGCAGCAAAAAATAATTTATAACCAAAACAAAAATTTACAATAGTAAATTAAGTAATAAAATTAGATCCACAAACAAAATTTACTATGGTACAAAAAAAAAAAAAAAATTATTTTTTTTTACTTTGTTCAATGAACATAAAACCACAGATTATTACGCATAACTATTTGCAAAATGTCAATACAAAGTACTATATATACTAGTTGTTTAAAAGTATTTTTATCAACTTCTGCACTTTCCTGCAATTTTGGCAACTATATATTATATATTACCTTTCATTGTTATTTGCGTACAGCATGACTTAAGTCTTGAAAATTAAATAAGATTTAGGTGACAAAAAAAAAATTCAATTCACCAATTTCATTCTTTCTGGCAGCAAAAGTTTGTACCTTAAACCAGTTTAATAATTTCAGAAAAAAATATGCTTTTTCTTAAACAGAATTTAAAAAATTAGCTTTAGTTTAAAAGAAATTAATAAAAAAAGTACAATAATAAAAAGAAAGCACACTTTTTAATGTACTAACACTTGAGAAGCTGAAATGCTACACCATTATAATTTTGATCAATGAACAACAAAATTATAACCAATTAATGATTAAGGAGATATTCCCACTTTGATATCTACTTATACAAACTGTTATCGTCAAAATGACACTCTATGGTACAGTTTTACTTACATGAGCTTGACTAAATAGGCTACAAAATATACCTCTTGAGTTTGTTCCTGTAGGAGATTTAATTTTTCCTTTTTTCGCACTGTTTCTTACATACACCTGTTTAACTATAGCTTTAACAAAAATCTGGCAATCAACATTTTAGCACAAATAAAGATACATAATAAATCTTCCCATGATAGAGATCTATGCCAGCAAGGTATGCTTAAAAAAAGAAGCTCAAATGCTTAAGATATAGTAATATTTATTATCAAATGCTTCATTGTTGAAAAAAGACAATGTCAAGAAAATACATTGTTCTATAGCAATGATTTATTCTAAAAACTATACACTTATACTTATAATAAATTATTTTCTTGCTTCCATACACAGACAGGCATTTCAAAATCATGCAACTGATATTAAATTTTTAAAAATCATTTCTTATCATCAATATTCAACTTTGACCCCTACTATAACATCTAACTAATAAATCAGTTACATAACAAAGTGAATTGTATATAGAGTTTAATGATAGGAGAGAAAAATCACACAACATATACTCAAGATAATAAGTAAAAAGAGGTATTTATTCAGAAAACAAGGAGAAAAGGGCACAAGAACTCTTGATGCCTCAGGATACATAACTAAATGTTAAGTAATCTATAAGCAATTGCTTCAGTTAAACATAACACCTAAAATTTACTATTCTTTGAATGAACTTGATCATTCAAATGAAGCAAGATATTAAAAGTTTAAAACCTAGATGTAGGACAATTTTACCTCTTTTGACACAACTGGCTGCAACTTGTTTTTAATAGTATCATAGGAGAGAGAAGACAGAAGAGTCTTTGTCCCAACAATAAGAATAGGTTTATCACAGGGATCACATGCAGCTAATTCATTGCTAATTTTTAATGTTACTTTAGCCATTTTCTATAAAAGAAAACAAATTTCTGTTAGTTAAAATGTCATAAAAATTTCAATAACTGATACAAAGGTATCTGGAATAAGCTCATTTTATTCTCATAAAAATCCGATCAACATTATTTTCATGAGCTCATAATACGAACCGCGCAAACTATTAATATGGTCTGTCGAGCCGGAGCATGGCTCGTGAAGATAGTGTTGCTCATTAAATAATGATCAAAGCTTCCATTGGATTACTAACGCATTCATTCATTGGGATAAATATTTAGAATGTATTACTAATGCATTCATTCATCAAGATAAATACTTAGAATATATTACCAGATGAATGAATGCATTAGAAATCCAATAGATGCTTTGATCATTATTTGATGAGCAGCACTTCACAACCTATGCTCTGGCTCGATGGACCATATTAATATTTTGTCTTTAATTTGCGTGGTTCGTATTACAAGCTCATGAAAATAATGTTGAATGGATTTTTAGATAAATGACAACTAAAAGAATGAATTGCAGATTAATATATAATGCGTTTATTATAAACAGCGCATTGATCTATCTCTGTAAACACACCAACTAAGATGTAATTTTTTTTGTTCTAATAAATGTATGTGGAGCTACTAGTACAACATATATACGGGCTTCAACAATAACTATTTATTAAATGATAGACACATATCATACATAGTTTATTCATTTATTAAATAGGAAACAAATTACCATCCACCAGCTCATCACTAATAAGCTTAGATTATGGTTTAAATTTAAAATAATGAGTATAGCTGCAGTTCTGTCACGGCACGGACTTCCATGAAATTGTACTCTTTTTTTTTCTTCTAAAATCGGTGAATTTCTCAATATGTTTCAATTCTTAAAAAATTGCTTAAAATTTGAATTTTTGTTTTCACTTTTTTAATTTATTATTTTTATTTAACACAATTTTTTAATTTCCGGAATCCTCAAATTAAACATGTAAAATTGATTAGACATTTAAGAGAGTGAATTAATAGCAAAAGAGTCAGAATCAATAGAAAAATGACAGAAGAAAATCGTTCAGAGATAATTCCAATCTTGTCAAATAAGGTGGTCTTTCTACACTTAGGGAGGGTGATTGACTGATTGTCTGTAGGAATATAAAAGAAATAGGAATCACAAGAGAAAAAAAATGTTACTTATCAAATGTTTGACAGAAAAATTGTCATCTAGGCTATTGCACACAGCAAATGAAATTTCTACTGCCTTTGTATGTATCCAGAAAAATTTTCCTGGGTGGCTTTTAGTGATTTCTTTTAGAGGGGCTTTAACCTTTTTTCAAAGCATAACGCAATTCAAAAATTGGCCAAAGTGGCAATTGGATGTTTGTCGGTGCCTAGAAACAGCGTAGATGTGGAAAGATCGTTTTCAAAGTATATAAATGTATAAAGATGCAACATAAATGAAAATAATCTGATAATGTACAGTACTTTATACAAAATTTTGTTCATTTATTTAAAAATATTAATATTGCCTTAAATTAAAAGAAATACTTTTGTGGTGTATTTTTTAAGCTTTGTTTTACTATAGGCACAATCTCTGTCTTTTACATCATAGCACATTTTTCTGTATTTATAATTAGCATAATTTTCAAAATATCCAGCGAATTTCGTGTCTTTTTTCCCGCGACAAACTTGCAATCCTAATAATGAGATACTAAATATCAAGTATTTATAGGAAATGCGGATATCTAATTTTAAAATAGGTAGTTTTATATTTACTACAGAAAATAATACAGAATTAAAGGTAACTAAATCCTTCCAAATAATAATATCCAGATCAAGTTTAGTTTGTTTACAATACATCTCTTAGAAAATATTGTTATTTATAATAATCATAGTTATTACAAGCAGAACAACAGCTAATAAATAAGTTGAAATTTTTTAGAAAAATTTAAACAAAGGCTGTAACTAAGAGGAAAAGATTTTAACAGATTATGATGGGGAATTAACTTATCAAGTCTTATTAGTTAAATGTTTACTGAGAAACAAATAAAACTTTTAACAAATGCTACCTCTGTGTAAGAATGTTGACTGATCCTATGAAAAAAATTAAAATTTACGAAGAAATCATTGCTTATCTTAGGGGCTGATTTGTAAAATTTTTGCTTCAAACAAAATTATCTTTATCAAAATTGATGACAAATTGACAAACGCTGGGTCCAGACGAACGGAACGGATCAGTTTAGTTCAAAGCAAAAATTTGTGCGATTAACAAAAGTGCGACGAGTATAATATGAAGTTCAATGTTTCCATATCAAATGAATTTTGGTAACTATTGCTGGCAACACAATTTACGGTAAACTTTTCACCTTGATCATCTGGAGATTATTGTAGAAATTAATGAATTAAAAGAGGTTAGAGTATAGAAACTTCTAAAATGTTTTCTGCACTGCGACGATTACCACAATTTGCAGGACGAAGAGTATTCCAATCTACTCGCAATCATTATGATTATCCTGGTAAATCAGGAGAGCCATTATCCATTATAGAAATGTGGCTTCATGGTGCTGCTATTTCTTTTGGCATTCTCGCAATACCTGTGTGGGTTCTTACCCATGTTCAAGAATACCGGGGAATAACAAAAGAATAAGGTTTGAAACCTATTATTTTTATTGCAATATTTTTCTGTTTTTTCACTCAACGACTGGTTTTCATAATAAAACTTAAGTATGCTAAAATCTTATAGCACTGTAATCTTTTATGCCATTTATAGTAGTTTAAGTACTCATTGGAATTCTTATTTTAATTGTGAAGTAAATTATGCATTTTATTTATTCCTTTATTTTATTTAATGCCTTTGCATTGTTAATGTTGATGTCGCCAAGTTAAAACTTTTGGAACCTTATTAAAAAAACTTATTATGTAGAGCATTACTATGCATTGTAAATTAATCATGCATATATCAATTATAAGGGATTTTTTAGACATTATTATTCTTCATTTAATAATAATGCTATGATCAATATTTTGAATATTTCAATCAGAAAATTTAACTACACTAAAAGAGTACTCATCTTAAAAAATACAATTCAGGATTTATACAAACTTAAGGAACATTTCTCCTGAATGTGGTTTTTCATTCTACTTAAAATACATACACCAATCAAATTCAAAATGTATATTTTTATATCAAGGGAAAAGTGACAACAAAAATATTGTCAATGCAGCAAGATCCGCGATAAGAACTTAAGTTATTCACCAGTGAATTAGCAAAATTTCAAAAGTCTTAGCCAAAGACATATCTTAACAATTTATGATTAAATTGTTGATATTTGCCCCATTTTTTTCCATCAGAAAACTTACGGATATTTCTGTGGTGCAAACTACAATCGTCAAGATGCCAAATAGATTTTAAACTCGCAATTTTTTTTAAAAAAAAATGCCTTTTGAGTTGGTCCCTTTCTGTAATGTTTTTTTAAGTTTCTCGAAGACGCTGCCTGGATGTTGCCAAATCTTGGCAATCTTTCTGCCACAGATCATGCTATGGAAAGATCAGTTTTAAAGGTGGGTGGAGTATAGGAGCAATAAATATGAGAGAGGAGGAAAAATGTAGATGTTTTTCTCGTCCTTGAAGAAAAGACATTGGAGTAGGTCGGGGTCTTAGATTATAGCAGTAATATAAGAGTAAACTTGCAGCGACATTTGATGTTTCTCAGAGATTCTCACATCTTTTAAATGAATACGTTTCATTTTCAATAAAACCTATCTTTCATTTATTTTTTATTGGTGCTATGCGATTGAAACCATTCAGGCAAAAAATTTCGGTAGAAGATAAGTTATTAAAATTATTTTATTCTGCTCAATTGGTTTTTACATTACTCGCTGAGACTTTTCTTCTAGGAATTTGGGCTAGGGTTTAACACTCATTGTTAGCCGAGTGTATAATATATCTATATCATTGAAGAAGGCAATCTATAAAGAAGTTGGATTTTCTTAGTTTAGCAACCATTTTAGTTTTTAAATTTTATAATAAGTTTGTTAAAATAAAGAATGTGTTTCATGGGAGACAAATTTTCTACAAAAATGGTTGGATGATATTATATATCTTGCTAATACTTAATCTGCATTTTATGATAGTTTGTTTTATGCTTACATAATCTTTCTTGTTGTTTACTTTATCTGGACTTAATATAATTCTAATTGAATTTACGATGTATCTGAGTGAAATTATTGTAATCGAATAATACAATGATGATTTATTGAGTAATTCGTGTTAATGTAGTTTTCCAGATTTAGGGGAATTCATAATTTTCTTTTTAGTAGCAAAATCATAATTCATAATTTTTAATTGCAAAATCATAATTTGTTTTGCCAAATTTACAATTTTATTGTATTCGGGGAGGTGGCAAATGCCTGTTGCAGTGTTGAAAAATATTTTGGATTAAAATTAAAAGTTTGTTTTCAACGCGTTTGATTTCTATAAAAAATTTTTTATTTTTATTTATGACAAAAAGAGAAGGAAGGAATATCTTCACTCTTCTCTTAAGATGAAAACTGATTAAACATTTTAGTTTATTTTTGTACAGCTCTGTCAGAACACTTTGGAGCGAGCTCAGTGTCGGGAACTAACCCATCGATAGGTTCTTCGCTTTTATCTGAGTGCCGAAGTATCTGGCCCTAGTAGACTTATAATTTTGTTAAACAGTTCAAAATTATGTTAATAGCCAAACTGCAACTGCTCAAACTTCATTCTTGCCGGTGCAGGCGATAACCGGAAGCTCCTGTTGAAGTTAATGATTTAAAAATTATATTATTTTTCTTTTTTAAAAATATAATTTGTATGGAAAATATGTTTATAGATTTTTTATAATTATATATTCTTTGGTTAACTTTTATTCGTAGTTAGAATTCTTTATGCAAAAGTTCTACTAAAGTCTGAAAGGAAAGTGTGCTACAGAAAAATCACTTTTTCTCACATATATTAAGAAGAAGAGAAATTTTAATGGCAAAAATCTTTCGTGGAGGTTAAAAAATTTAATAAAACTGGTTGGCAAGTCAATTTAATTACCATTTCAATAAATATTGTTATTTAATAACTAATTTGAATAAATGTAAAGAGTGATTTAAATTTACTCATTTACTTGGTTCTTTTAGTTATTGAACAGCATCATTAAGCTATATTTTTCTTTAAAATATACTGCTTTAGATACTTAGATTCTTTTAACTAAAGAAAATTTATAAGTTTTTTTTTTTTTTTTAATTTTTTCAATACAAATTAAATTGTTTCACTAATGCTGTTGAATTTACTAAAACATAACCATTGTCCTTATTATAGCTGAGCAATCCTTGAAATTTCTACATCTTTATAAATACTTTCATAGTTGGTTTTTTGATCTAAGTTTTATATATTCTCTTTTTAATTGTTTTACAGGGTGTGTAATATTTTTAAAAAGCCCTTGAAGGTGCTTTTTTTATTGTTTGTTTTTAAAAAGTGCTTAATTTTTCCTTTTCCAAAATTAGATTTTTACTTTACCATGTTCATTTTTGCCACGAATTATACTAAAAGACGTTGTTTTATTCTATTCAACCTTTACACCATTAATTCAACCCCAATCTAGTTCAGCGTGCCGTTGGTTCGTGGCACATGAAAATGCCATTCGTTTTACGTGATTCAAAATTTCGTGATTTTTGACAATTGTCAAGAACTATGCCAAAAAAGTAAAATTTCCAACATGACGGATAAAAACACCAATCGTCAAAAATTTGACAGCCGTGCCTAGTTATATTTTTTTAGAGTGCTTAAAAGTATTTTCTGGGTGCTTAAAAAGTGCTTTATTTATTTATTTATTATTATTTTTTGAAAAATTTATCTACACTCCCTGTCTTAAATATCTTGATCTAAGTTGGCCATCAAACTTCATAATCTTAGAGTCTATATATTTTTTTATTTTTCAACTACAGTTGAGAATTAAAAAAAGTTACTAAATTGATATCTAGAAAAAAAGGTCTAATCACATTCTTCCGAACAGAAACTATTTTCTTAATGCAATAAAAATCAATTTTTAGTTGCTAAAACTGTCCCTATGCCTGTTTTATTTATAATGTCTCATTAATTTTTCCAGCTGACTTTTAAATTGCATTATCTTTCTCTTCCTAAATTATTTAAATTGAAAATGTTTGAACTTCGTATAACAGGTTATGAAAATATTTCTGGATTTACCTTCTAATACACAGGGGGGAAAAAATAACTATTATTTTGTACACTAATATAATAATATTCATATAATAATTTAGTTACTAAATTGTACCTAAAACTAAATTTTAGAAATGGGATTGTTTTTGTTATATTTAATTATTCATTTGTAAAATTCAGCACTTTATATTTTAGGTTGTAAATCAATGGAAGCTGGTGTCTTAAGAAGAGTGCAGAATGATGTTGAAAGTGTAGTTTTTCTTTTGTAAATTCCGTATATGTATAATTTCTATGAAAAGCCTATTAAAGTATAGTGAAAAATATGAATTGTATTTCCTTAATTACCGTAAAGACCTCAGTTATTGTGGGAGTGCTTTGTCCTACTTAAAATCTGAATTTTTTTTTTTAAATTTCAATGTAGCTTTTTTAAAATAAATTTTGATGAAGGTCGAAATGTGATGAAATGGGTGGAAACTACTGATTGTTATTTATCATTTTTTACTGAAAAATATCTATTGTTAACAATACTACCGTTGACAAGAGAAGGGGAACCTTGACAGAGCAGACCTTTTTCTTTTTATTTCCAACTTATCTTTTAAAATCATCATGATTGTTTAAATAATGACATTTACCTGAGTTGCAAATTTTATATCTTCTTACCTTTCAAATTTGAAAGTGCAGCTTTTAAATAAGTTTTCTGAAATTATGATACACCAGTTACAGTCAAGCATTACATACATCATGATGACTATCGCTTATAACGACTTAGATTTATGAAGAAAAAAAATAGTTTATTTGAAACTCTATAGAAAAAAAAATTTCTCTATTTTCAAAGATTGTATACTAAACTAGATTTTCAAAAAAGTTTTCATTCCTTATTAAATTTATTAATGAAAATAGAATTTGGTAAATTTGAAAACTAATATTTGAAGTTATTTTTATTGAATTTTTAGTCATATTGCAAATGGAAAATTACAAATTGGAGTCGTTTACTTACGTACTATTTTCACCAAATTAAAAATAAATCATGTAGGATTGATAATCTTCTTTAATTCCTAAAAGGAAGTTATTTAATATTTTTAATTTTAAAAAATATTTATATTTTAGAAATAATGATTCTATAATCATAAAATTTTTAAATAGTGAAAAGGATTATCCACTAAGTTACTGTCTTATATTAAGTTGTGTATTGTATTCTCATAGAAGTTATTGAAACTTAAATAATTTGATTAAAAGGTATTAAATTTGAATTGTGAATCATTAACATATATATATATTGTGATGCCAGAATTGGCATACACATATTTATTTTCTATCTTTTAAAATATCCTTCATTACTTAAACTTATTTTATTAATGGAAGAATTATTTTTTAAAATAAATCAAAAACTTAATCTTTTTAAGCGAACATAAAATATTTATTTCTTCTCTTCCAGATCAATGTAACGGATACTTTCTTTTTATTTCATTATTATGCAGACATATAAATTCACTGTCGCCTCTAATCGAAAACAAAAATCTATTTATAACTTTTTATTCTAATTTTCCAACGGCTAAATGTTTCGGTTGCATGGTTATA